TCCGAACCTTACCTCTCTTCAGGTTCATCCAGCTCAACTATCCGCAGCCTCTCCTGCACACCTCTTTCCGTCTCACCTGTGGAGCTCTCTCGCCAAGGAGGGGTTCGTTCGTTCGGTTCAGCTGGAAAAGCAGGCGTAAGCGGAATCGTCGGAGAGTTGATTTTAGGTCGGCTAATGTCGTTTCGCTTTTAATGAACTTCTCCGTTCGTTAAGTACGTTTCTCCATCTCCGTCGCCTGCCAATCCGCGGACCAGTTTCTTCACGCTGCCGGACCCGATTCGATCCCCCCGCTGTCTTCTTCTCTTTTTATTCTTGCCCCGTTATTGGTCTCTCTCGTGTGTTTTTAAGATCGTAGCTACCTACCCAAGTTCCAGTATAATTCTTTTTACCAAGTTAACAATTCTGTGAAAGCAATAGTCTGCTGCCGATTTGTCACAGTTTATCGGTGCAACAGTGAGATGGCGTTACGCCACAGTCTCGCGATGTAACAATTTATTGAAAAAATCGATTCAAGATGATGCTCTTCGTGAAGGACAACGTTCGCTCGAGATACGCGATCATTTTTCAGTCAGAGATGCGAGACGTCGGCACGTTTCGTTCGAAAAGCACAGATTATCGAATAAAGAGTTCCAAGGCGAACAAGGATTAATCTATTCGTCGTTTACATTTCTAATCGTACTGTTTATCGCCGCGGCGTTAAATAATACCGATTGTTGCATCATGTGGATGGAAAAATATGTCGGCCCAGATGGCGAGAACCTCGAAGATTATCGATCGAGCACCACTAGAATCGCTTATGCAATTTTTATTAACGATCGAATCATCCAACGTTCCTTTCTCGCTCATTTAGAATCGGTAATCACCGATTTCTGGCTATCTGCTCGCGTTTAGTAGCGTCAAATCGTCGTAGCTGTTACGTAGTTACCTTGTCAAGATAGGCTTGACGCTGGAGAACGTTTAAATGACCTTTGAATAACCACTAAATAGCTGCTGCTTTCCAATAATCGCCGCTCTATAAAGATAAACCGGTTCCACCGATTAACCTAACGTTTTGGAAAAATGTCAAGGTAATCGCAGAAATACATTCTCCCGATAAGAAAATCACATTCAATTGTTAACGAGTTCTTCGAAAAAAATAAACTCACAACTACGCAAATTGTACTATCTAATCTCACAAAATTTCTAATTTGATAGGAATTGCAAACGATAGGAGAAAAATTTGCACGAGATAAAAAACGAAAATTTGCGATTCCACTGAGAATTATTTTGCACGATGCTGAAACGTGCGAAGACCGACTATGGAGGCAAAAATGAAAAACAAAGCGAGCTTAGAGTCTTACAGAAACGAAAGTTCCAAGAGCACAGGACGATTGTACGTTTGTAACACGAATGAATCGCAGAAAATGGAAGATCGACGTTTCACGAACTTTCTGATTCCACCGACACGAACGACGAATGGAGAGAACGCGATAATTAGCATCGTTCTACGCGTGTGTTGTCTCGTCGCTACCTAAAACCGCTGTCGTTTGCTTAAATTTATTAATCGTGGAAAGTTGGAAACAGGATCGGGGAACGGAGCGACGTTATCGAACCGGTTTTGCAGTAATTTCTTTTTGTTTGAATTCCGTCGTGCCGCGAGTGATTTCTGGTTCTCGTAATCAGAACGATACCGCGGCAAAAAGTAACCAATTTTTTTGTTTTTCCGTGGCTCGTCAAATACGTCTTTTTTCTCCACATTACGTAAACATGTATACAGAGTGTACAACGAATCGACGGTGGTCACAAAGATATAAAAGCTATCTCTTATTTTGCCCAATCTAACGGAACGATGTAAGTTACGTTCAGTCACATGTCCGCACATATGTACGCAAAATCTCAAATTAGGAGTTTAATATAACACTTCCCGCGATACCAGTTATCTTTCAATTAAATTATTGTAATTAATTTAAACGAAAAATATTTCGCAAGTAAATTTCACTCTTAGATTTCTTTTCCGTTTTCTTAAGAAACCACCGTGTGCAATTCAGATCAACGAATTCGCGGATCACCCCGAAGTCGGTAGTTACGATACGATTTTTTTCAACCTTTCGCCAATGGAAAAAATGGAACGATACGGTTAATTAAGAGGTTAACGGTGCAGGTAAACTTTCCTCCTTTTCCTTTTCAACCGTGACCTTCTGTCGACGACAATGTTGCGCGCGAAAGAAGCACAGGCGGCGGAGTATGTAAATTCTCGAGATGGCTTGCATCAGAAATCGCGCTTACGAAATTCCCATGTGTTAGGGATTGACGAACAGTGGGAAAAATAAATAAAGCGGCGTGCCGCCGCTGATCTCCAGAGTGGGAGTTGCTCGTTGCAACGAAAAAGACAGACAGATCGCGATGTACGTCGAAGTAACGATACATCTAAGGGGGGAAAAAGGAAGACGCATCCGAGAGGCTGATTAATCGTTGTTTTTATTTCACTCGAAACGTGTGCCGCGATCTGGCGAATGTTACGGTTCGTCGGGATAACTGTGTATCATTTTTCTTGCTTCATTGATCGATTCGACATCCAAGATGAATCGAACACAGAGAAATTTATGGATATCGTCGATTTGCGTCGTTCGACGTCATTCGTTTCTCTTCTTTCTTTTTTTCTTTGTTATCGATGTTTCACCGACTTTCCACAAATGTATCAATGTTTTTTTCGAATTCCCCTCGCTGGAGATTATCGAAGGCAAGAGTGCAAAATAGAT